ACAAAGCCAGGGACCTAGTGAGTATGGAGAAAGAAGTGAAGGTATATTAGGAATTAAGTGCCTATCATGTACACTTTTTCTTAGACCATATAGTTTGGTTTTCACAATCATATGATGAGTTCTTGTGTTTGTTAGTTTCGTGTCAATTTGGCTAGGCCGTGGTGCCCAGATGTTTGGTCAAACACCAGTATAGATGTTTCTGTGAAGGTATTTTTCAGATGAGATTAATATTTAAATCAGTAGACTTTGAATAAAGTAGATAATTGTCTGTAACTTGAGTGGGCCTCTTTGAGTCACTTGACCTTAGAGAAAAAGACGAAGGTCTTCCGAGGAAGAGGGAATTCTGTCTCTAGACTGTCTTCGGATTTGAGTTGTAACGCCTCCTCCCAGAATCTCCAGCCTGATGGCCTGCTCTGCAGATTTCAAACTTGCTGCCTCCAAAACCACATAAGCCAGTTCTTTAAGATAAATTTCTGTGTGCCTACGTGTATGTATATGTCTATGTGTATGAATATGTGCATGTGTATGTGAATATACAAGTGTATTTATATGTATTTATATGTATGTATATGTATATGCATATGTATATGTGTATATATAGGTATAAGTGTATTTATATGTGTATGTATAGGTATAAGTGTATGTATATGTATGTATATATACATGCATATTTATATGTGTATATGTATATGCATGTATATGTGCATGTGCATGCATACATATATGTGCATGTATATGTATATGTGCATTTTATGTATATTTGCACGTATTTGTGTATGTGTACATATGTGTATGTATATGTGTATGTGGAGGTATATGCACATATGTAGTATGTATATGTGAATGTGGATGTACATGTGTGTATGGGTGTGTACGTGCATGTGTATGTGCATATATATTTGTAAGTGCATGCATATATGTATGTGTATGTATATGTGCATATGCATGTATAAGTGTATGTATATGTATATGTGCATGCGTGTATATATGTATTTGTGTATGTATATGCATCTGTGCGTATGTATATATGCATGTGTATATATGTATTTGTGTATGTGTATGCATCTGTGCATGTGTATGTATATGTGTACGTGCATGTATATATGTATTTTTTGCACGTGTATGTGTATGTACATGTATATGTGTATGTGTTTGTGTATGTGCATGCATATGTATATGTATATGTCTATATGTATACACACATACACATCCCATTGGTTCTGTTTCTCTGGAGAACAATAGCAGATAAGAGTTATCTGTTATTATCTCTGATGTCCAGTTGAGGAAACTGAGGCTCAGAGAGATGAAGAGACTTTTCCAAGATCAAAAAAGTGGAATAGATATTTAAATGAGAACTCCAAACCCAGTTCTCTTTCCACTGGAGCCTGGATATCAGAGGCATCCTGCTATAATTTGTGGGAAGAGGTCCAAGCTGGGCAGCTGTTGGGGTGTGGGAATTTTGTCTACAGGAAGCGAGTATCATGTAAGATAACTGGATCTGAGGGGAATGTCTACTCACTAAGAGCAATAGAGGACTGTGGCATTCACACTGACAGTTCAGTGAGGCATAGATGCAAGATGGGAGGTGTCACAGGAAAATTGGAGTGCAGAGGAAATTTCTGAGGGAATTCATGGAGATGGAGCAAGGGTGCCATGTGTCGGGAACCGTGTGTGATTAGATGAAATTGGCAGTGACTTGGAAGTCAAGTTAAGCAATCTACACATGATTTATTTCATTGTAAAGTATATATTGAGCACTCAGGCACACCATGAAACTCCTTCAACAAAAGGATGGGCAAGGATGTGGAGCTCATATTCTAGTGGGGAATATAAACATCGAAGAAATAATTATGCACAGAATTATGTTATTGTAGGTGTGATAAATACTATGAAGAGAAAGCTGTGTGTATCAGGAAGAGCAGCCTCGTCTATGAGGAAAGCCTTCTTGGATGAAGCGGTGTTTTACGGGGCAGGGCAATGGTTCTTAGCCTTGCTCCCAGCATGAGCTACACAGAGGTGTCTACAGCTTACATGAAGTAGCTGTGATTTCTTCTTCCAACTGGCAGAAATAAATTTAATGGATGGAGAAAATGTTCTCACTTCTAGTTTTCCTCTCATCATATATTTTTAATCATGGCACCTGCTACTACTTCTCTGTGCTAACACATGACAAATGAATGAACAAATTGCAAATGAATACTAATGAAAACCTGGAAATAATGCATCATATTTATTTCAACAGTTTTTTTGTTGTCATTACTGTTTTATTTTGTGAAGTCATGTAGTTTTTTTATGCAAACATACTAACATTACCACTAGTTGAGATGATGGAATTTAACATGCCGGTGTCATGATGCTCCACAAAATGCACCAAGAGCCAATCCGAGGAATGCCGTGGGGCAGCAGGAGGCTGTGCTAATTTCGTACACAGGGAGGAAAGAGGATATGAAATTCTTTCATTTGCCAACCTCTTCGTATGTGCCAGGACTTGTATGTGTATGATCTCACTGATCCTTTACAGCGATACAGTGTGATGGGTGTCAGCAGTATTCCTATTTTGAGATGAGAAAGTGAGGCTTAGAGAAATCCATTAACTTGCCCAATCACAGCATTCGCATATGGCAAACGTTTAGAATCAGGCATCCCAATTCAAGATGTCGGCGTTACTCAGTGGTCACCAGAAAATAGTGTATGTGTGTATGTACGTGTGTGTGTGTGTGTGTGTGTGTGTGTGTATACACACATATATATATGGAGAGAGACAGAGGGACAGAGAAACAGACAGAAAGAGATTTTCAGGAATTGGCTCACCCGACTGTGGGACTGACAAGCCTGAAATGTATAGGGCAGGCTGGCAGGCTGGAGATTTGGGCGAGTTGGTGTTGCAGCTCAAGTCTAAAGGCTTGAAACTGTGGTACGGGTTTTACTTTATAGCCTTAAGATAAATTTCTTCTTCTCTGAGAAACCTCATCCTTTCCTCTTAAGGTCCTCAACTGATCGAATGAGGCCCATTTGCATTATGGAAGGTGATCCGCTTTACTCAACGTCTACCGATTTCAGTGTTAATTGCATCTAAGAAATACCATCACAGCAATAGCTGGATCAGCGTTTGGCCAAACAAGGAGACACCGTTGCCTAGGCAAGCTGACATGGAAATTAGCCATCATGACATCTTCCCTTAAATTGTTGGGTTGTACCTTCTAAGCTCCGGATTGACATTGCCCAGGCTAAGGCTGAACTGGAAGTATGATTTCAGATGCTGGCACAGATGATGGGCTCGCGTCTCTGTCTCTGTGAAGGGCTGACTCCTCGGAAAGCACCTTTTCACCTGCCTCCCCACTCTGCTGTTCATCATGAATTGGTTCCGTCTAACTACTTTCCCAGTTACACGTTGTGTTTTTGGTTCCTGGTTCTGCCTCTTGCTCTACCGTCTTTCAGTAAACCGTCTCCATGCTGACTTTTCCAGCCTCACCCTTGCCCCTGGAGTGCTCACGTGAGGGATCTTTTGGGTGACCTTCTGGGACTCTGAAGCCTCTCCCAGCCCAGATTTCAGAATCTCCGATTGGCCTCTTCTCCAAGGGAAATTAGGACAGACCTTCCCTCAGGTCGTTTCTCCCTTGCAGATTTCTGCATTCCGGGTGTATGCTTGGAGGACTTTCCAGGGAATATGGATGGTGGTGTAAGGGAATTAATTTCTAAAACTTCAGCTTCCGTGTTGCTATTTCTTAAAGTTGATGGGCCCAAAAATGGACCTGAGAGGGAGACTTTACCTTTGAACTTCCCTTTTCATAATCACCTCTTCACATTTGAGAAGAGCATGAGTCTCATGCATAGCAAATCTGATCCCTGAGGGGATAAACCCTGACAAGAACCTAACAAAATATGATTTATTAGTTCCTTTAATCAAGGCACCATAATTGTTCCCTAACCCCATATTATCTCAATAAGAGATAACTTTGCAAGGAAAGTTAGTTATTTATGCTTAATAATTACTTATAAAAATGTAATACACTTATGCCTTACTGATTACTTGTATACCATTAATGATTTTAATCATAGTCATTCACCCAAGCGATGAATTCCCATCTAAGTGATGGGAATATGTTCTGAGAAATAAGGTCTTAGGCACTTTTGTCCTTCTACAAACATCATAGAGTGTCCTGGCGTAGACCTGGGCGGTAGAGCTGACTACACAGCTGGGATATATGGTATCGCCTATTGCTCTAAGCTATAAACCTGTAGCATGTGTTACTGTAATAGGTACTTTAGGCAGTTAAAACACAATGGTAAATATTTGTATATCTAATCATAGAAAAGGTACAATAAAATATAGTATAAAATATCTTTGGAAGGATATACCTGTATAGAGCACTTAACTATGAACGGAGCTTGCAGGACTGGAAGTTGCTCTAGGTGAGTGAGTGAGCGGTGAGTGAATGTGAAGGCCAAGGACATTAGTGTACACTCCTGTAGACTTTATAAACACTCCACATTCAAGCTACATGAAATTTATGAAATGTTTTTCTTTCTTCAATTGTAAATTAACCTTAGCTTACTGTAACATTTTTACTTGATAAACTTAATTTTTTTTTTGACTCTTTCTAAACATAGAAAGGATATTTTAAGTAATACCCTCACTCACTCACCCAGAGCCACTTTCACCTGCAGTCCCCACTCAACCCCAGCACCCTGCTGGCTGAAGTCTGCCTGGAGCAGCGTACCCTCATGGACTCCAAGATGAAGCCGCTGTGGATCTTGTACAGCAACTAGGAGGCAGGCAATTGTGGCAGGGTGAGCATCATCCTTAAGAACGATGATGACCTCCGGCAGGACATGCTCACCCTGCAGACGATCCAGTTCATGGACGTCCTGTGGAAGTAGTGGAGGTTGAACCTGAGGATGACCCCTGAAGTTGCCTCCCCACCAGAGAACACACAGCCTTCATTGAGGTGCCACTCCACCCAGCCTCCAGTGCCAACATCCAACCCAACAAGAGCAACATGGCAGCCACAGTCACCTGCAGCAAGGACTCCCTGCTCAACTGGCTGAAGAACCTGGGGGAGGCCTTGGATGGAGCCATCCAGGAGTTCACTCTCTCCTGTGCTGGCTACTGTGTGGCCATGTACGTGCTGGGCATTGGTGATTGGCACAGCGACATCATGATCCGAGCGAGTGAGCCACTGTTCCACATTGATTTTGGCCACTTTCTGGGGAATTCCAAGATGAAGTTTGGAATCAACCGCGAGCGTGTCCCGTTCATCCTCACCTGTGACTTTGTCCATGTGGTTGAGCAGGGGAAGACTAACAATAGTGAGAAATTTGAAAGGTTCCGGGGCTACTATGAAAGGGCCTACACCATCCTGGGGCTTCTCTGTCTCCACCTCTTTGCCCTCATGTGGGCGGTAGGACTGCCTGAGCTCAGGTGCTCTGAAGACATCCAGTATCTCAAGGACTCCCTGGCACTGGGGAAAACAGAGGAGGAGGCGCTGAAGCACTCTTGTTGCGCAGGAGAGTTCACCAGGGGGGTGGGGGATAGCTGGTAGGAAAAGACCTCATGCCCCAACCCAGTTCCCATGCGGTTGGCGAGGCGGGTCTCACTCCCGCAGTGCCCCACTAACAGCACCTGGGTTAGATCCAGGCAGCCTGCATGCAGAACTCTGGCTTGCCCCAGGCCATAAGCTTCCTTACTGAGAAAGCAAGCACTGCTTTTAGGCCGTGCCTCTCCCCATCTGGCTGTGATGGTGGGTGCCCCATGCCTGCACTCATATCTGCTGCAGTTCTTATTCACCCCCGATTCTGTTCAAGTGGGGGTCATGCCCACTTGAAATTATCACAAAATTCAGTTGGGAGCTTCTTTCACCCTGTTACCCCTTCTTAATTCCGCTGGCTGCCATCCCTGAGAGCCCCTATGAGATATCAACAGGGATGGCTTCCCTGGGCTCGAGTTGGAGACTGGGAATGTCCACAAGGTTTTATCTGCTGCCGCTTCTACTTCATATTTTGCTCGGCTCCATAAATTTGTTCCAGCTCTAGGTGAGGTTAAATCCTTCTCCCGGGATCTGGTTTTTCAGATTTCCCAGGGGGATGTGTGTTTGGAGGCAGGTTTACCCCCTCTCCTACTCTGGGAGCTCACAGTTTTTCACCTGTCTCATGGCATCCAAATGTGACAACCAATGAAATCACACATTCTCACTTTCTGTTATCATTGTTCTTTAGATGTTTACATCCATGTTCACAAAGAGGTGAACAAACGCTCTCCTTGGGTGGGGCTTGCTGGGGCCACTGTCAGGGAGGCAGTGTGGCTCTCAGGGCGATGACTCTATGTTCCAGGGTACCACGCTGTCCTGACCACACTGAAGTGATCTCAATGTATTTTTAAGCGTCGTGGCATTCTGCTTCTTTCAAAGGATCCGTGAATTCTTTCAGTTCTCCTGGTATGTTCCTGTGGTGGTTCGTGGAACAAAAGTTCACAGTGTGACTCTCCACATACCGTTCTGTCCTTTCGAGTGAGAGAGGCATGCTAGCCCTGCCTCCTACCTGCCATATTGGGGGGAAAAAAGAGGATTTGTAAACTTTTACTTAAATTTGCTTATTGACTGTTTTGAAATTTTCCTATTTTAAAAAATATGAAATGATTGTTATAAAAAATATATCCAAGAAGGGAGTGAAATGTTTGTGTGGCATATATATGTTTCTGACAAGTTAGGTAACATTGTTTATTTCCTGGGCTTAGAGTGAATGACTTAAGAAAAATATAGTCAAACATAGTCAAAGATGGAAGGTCTATTTCTTGAAAGGTCTTCAGGAAAAGTGACTATTGATTTTTTAAAATGTATGTAGATCCTTTGCCCTTCCTCCCATTGAAGGGTGGGCTTATATTTCCAACCCCTTGAATCTGATTGACACTATGTGAAAGATTGCATATAAGAACAGCCCAGCCAAGTCCTTGCTAAAACTGCGAGTAAAATAAAGTGTTGATAATAAGCACTAATTTTTGGTGGAGCTCCATGATGGGGTGATAGAAACTCAAACGGTGACCACAGGTTTTGAGATTTAGCAGTAGATCTAAGTTTAAAACAGTTTTGGTTCACGTCTTTGCGAATCTGAACATAAACATGTAAAGAACAATTATAATGGAAAGTGAGAATGTGTAATTTCATTGGTTGTCACATGTAGATGCTTCTTCTCCTAGCATTTCTGCTAGTTTTCTACAAAAAGCTAATGTCCTGAAATTCTTTTCAGTATATCTAGGGAGCAGAAAGCCCCCTTGAATAAAGGAGCAACAGACATTTCTCATTAAATGGGACTATGAATCCACTACCTTATTTTCTCTGGCCATGAAGAACTGGGGTGACGGGTAGGAAGTATGTTTCTGCCAGGGTCCACCTGGCATTCAGTGCCAGCATTCTTGCTTCTGGATCCAGGATAGTCAAAGCACATCTCGTTGCTGAGTCCTGGAGCAGTGTCATAGCAAGCTCTGGGCTAGCTCTTGCAGGGAAACATCTTAGATCAGAACATGGGCAATTCCTGGGGCAAAAAAGAATTTCATATACCCTCATGCTGAGCACTGTGCTGTTTTGTGAGTATAAAGAACAATGGCAAACACACTAATATAAGGACTAATCTTTCCTGGAGACAAAAATGGGAAGGAGGAGTTCCTAGAAGAGTTCCTCATTCTGGGAAGGCATATGTAAGGAATTAATAAGTCAAATATTCTCTGCTGTCTTTTTGACTGTTCCCATGCAGTATTTCTATTTTACTAAGGTTTGTTTCTCTCTTTTTGTGTCTTTTCCACTTTTTTTCCTCATACAAATAAATTATTTTCAGAAAAATTTAGAAAGGACAGACATTTTGTTTGTTTCTTTTTTTAAAAAAATGAAATTGGTTTATCTGGATGGTGAGTTAAATGTTCATTTTTAAGATGACTTTGTGGAAGGAGAGTAGAAGAAATCATAAAACCCCATTATTTATCCATCAATTGCTTTGTGGTTTTGCAGAGTTGTTAGGAGAAGAGAAAAGACTACCCAGGACACATTGCAGAATGCTAACATAACAGAGGTGGTCAGTCTAATGGGAAACCAGCTTGTGATTGTCTTAGAAATAATTGGAAAATAAACATTTATTTCTGAGCATGTTCAGTGGTGGTCAATTTTCTGTTGTGCTTCATTTTGAGATAACATCATGCTGTCCTAACCACACGTAAGTGACCTCAGTATGTTGTTTAAGTGTTGCGCTTTGCATGGTCTAACCTGAATCACCAACACCAGACCCTCGCTCCAGCACAGAAAAAGAAAGAAATTGCTTTTCAGAAAGAGAAGCAGATGTTCTCCACATCACTGCTGCTCGCCTTCCATGGGTACGACTTTAATCAGTTGGCTCGGGAGCTTGGAAAGCGAGTCTGTAACCAGATGATTATTGTTCTGCTGAAATGCGTAGAGTTATACTATTTAAAGGAAAAAGGGAAGAATAGATTCTGGAGAATAATTAAAAATCCCTGCTGTGGACATGAAGACTATATCAACATTCTGGAAAACAATGGAGCAATATGAGAAAAAGACCCCCAGTCTATGCACATCCATGCGAAGCGGGGTTCCCTGTGGGTTCTGCAACATCTTCTTACCTCTGAGTCTTAGTTTGCTGTAGCTTCCATAACAAAATACCATTTACTAGGGGGTTGAAACATCTGAAATTAATTTTCTCAGAGTTTTGGAGGCTGGTAAGCCCAATATCAAGCTCTGGCAATGTTCAGTTTTCGGTGAGGTCTCTTCTTCTGGCCTTGCAGATGGCTACCTTCTCCATGTGTCCTCACATGGTAGAAAGAGAGTTCCAGTCCCTTCCATTTTTTATAAGGACACTAATCTCCTCAAAAGGGGTTCACCCTATGACTTCATCTAAACCTAATCACTTAAGGGTTAGAGCTTCAACATAGAAATTTTGAGGGAGCACAAACCTGTTCACAAATTTCTGACGTGTTATATGATAGAGAATACATTTTGATTGTGTTGGAGATAACATACGTTTGCATCTACTTGTTACAGCAGCTTAGCCTATTTCTCACATAATACATGCTTAGGTGAGCATACTACTTCTGATATGGTATTTCCTCAGTGTAGGGCAGAATAGGACAATTTTCATTTAGTTCTAGAATGTTATTGTGCTATTCTATTAATGTTAATATCACATTCCCTTTGTCAAGAAAGTTATATCACACTGTTTATCTCTACTAATTTTACTGTTGACTAAAATCCATAAGTCTGTTCATCAAAAGTTACTAGTACATACAATTTTCTCTACTACACTGGTATCATATTAGATTTTTGGACCTCTGCAAATTATCATTAGAAGTGTCTCATATCAGTCATATCCAGAATAGTTGGCTATTTGAAAATGTTTAGTCTTTCTTTCCTGCTTCTCAGAGAAATGGGAAATCAAATGCTTGGTGTCTTATAGTTCACTGTAAAAACTATGAAAATATCTCTGGACTTATCTGGATACACACACATACACACACGTGTGTATACACAGAGTCTTACTAACTGATGTGGCTTTGTGTTCCCCTAAAAGATATTTTCAAATCCTAACCTTGGTATCCAAACCTTGGTACCCATGAATGTGACCTATTTGATAATAGGGCCTTTGGAAATGTAATCAAATTAATAAAGTTAAGATAAGGTCATACTTGATTAGGCTGGGCACTAATCCAATGACTGGTGTCAAAAGACTGGAGAAATGCGGACTCCTCAGTGAATGCCATGTACTGACAGAGGGAGAGATTGGGGTTATGTGTCTTCAATCCAAGGATCATCAAAGATTGCCAGCAGCACCAGAAGCTAGGAGCAGGCAAGGAAGTGTCCTTCTCTACATGTTCCAGAGAGAGCATGGCCCTGCTGACACCCTCATGTGGTACTTTTGGACTCTAGAACTATGAGAGAATGAATTTCCATTGCTTTATTTCATTAAGTTCATGTTAAGTTGTTATGGCAGTCCTAGGAAGCTTATAGGTTAACTATGCGATGTTGACAGGTTAGCTTCCTGAAACCAACTTTAGATCATCCATGAAACGGGAATGAAGATACATGGCATCTATGAAGATCAAGTGAAATAATATATGTAAAGCATCTCACACTATTCTTAACACATAGAATCCAGTTCAATGAATATTAGTTCTCTCTTTGCAGTCTGCAGACGGTGGGAGTGGAGAGGCCGTGTAGAGAACAACGATATTCCCATGTGTGGGACGAGGTTCCCTTCATGGGTTTGCAACAGCCTACTCACCATCTGTGAGGATAATAGGAATAACAACAACTGCCTCTATTTTTATAAACAAGAACTTGGTAGTAAATATTCTCTCCATTCTGGAATATGCCCGTGTTCTATATTTCCCAGCAGTGCTTTGTAACTGAAACATTCATAACAAGAAGATGTCTTCATTTTTATCATATTTTGATCCACAATAATTTTTCATTTATGAAAAATTCAGTGTTATTACAAGAATACTC